CTTTGCTAGCGTTTCATTCCTAAATTAGATATATGCAGAAAATTGACCACACGAAAAGTAACGCTTCATATGTTCGAAACCGAAAATGTCCATTTAGTAATAGTCAATCTAATGCCAACATATAATATTTTGCAAATGGCGAAACAATTTCGGTCCAATTAAATAAAGGATTGCGTGTGTGGGTGTGTGTTAGAAGTGCACGTACGGACATAAAATCACACAGATTTGCCAGTCGATAAATACTCTGGTTCTCAAAAATGACCACAGTGCTCTCGACCTCACTCCCGCGGTTAACCTCTAAGAAGAAATCAAACTTCAAGTGCGACAAGATCTGTTCAGTGAAACTCTTGGCAATAGATTGCTCTTCTCTCAAGAAAAAAAACCCGATCAGATGCGCAACCCAAGTCTAGGATAGGTACTGGCACAAGAAATTGCACGAATATATCGAAATGTCCACTTTCGCCCAAATTTATGAACATTTTGCTTGATAATATAGATTAGCCAAATTTTTCGCTCAAGAAAATGGCAAGTCTGGGGAGAGGTTGGGCGAGTGTGTAAAACGTGCAAGGTGTTGAGTATCTGAATATCGTGTGAACTGGCGTATCAACAAGAATGCAAACGGGGAATGCCTGGTGGCGCACTGATGTGCCCAAACACTTGCGGCATAAAATCCGCGAAACCCGCATGTCGGCACGCATCTGCTAATACCTGTGCTACCAGTATGATTTCCTGAAACATCAATATTTTCGTATTGGTTTCTGTCATAGGGTCCCGTGTCGTATGTCAATATACCGAATGCCCTAATCTGTAGAGAGGTTATTCGAATTCTACAGCAGTGAGTAATCAAGAGGCTGACAGATGACTGGCCTCAAGGCGAACAGGCAGCACTACGCATTGTCTCATATTGGTAGGTTAAATGACGAATCTAAAGACGAGGCAGAATATTTGAGCTTATAAATGGACCTGATGTCGGGCTCAGAGCATGCTCGCTGTCCTCCAGACAACATCCAAGAAGATGCACCTTTTCGCATTCCTAGCGTTTCTGCTTGTTGCCGTCTCAGTCACGGAGGCATGCGTTACCGGCAAAACTGGTTATCCATCATTCAGAAGCAGCGCCGCCTTCCAAAACCCAAAGCCCAACAAGCCAACAGGTATGTCTTTTTGTCGGCATCAGTATATTTTGCACGCAAGGCAATTCACACATTTAAATTCTCATATTCCCGCAATGCGGACGAGTATTCATCCACAGCTTCATCTGCCGAATTTCGACGCCTGTTGGCAAGAACTGGTGTGTGCATGTACCTCACACTTGCGCATTTGCACGTTTATGAACACCCCCCTAACCCCAACCCAACCAACAGTAGGCATTTTAAATACTGTCATACGTCAGACGCACAGATTAGACTGGCCGGTCTGCAATGCTTCCATGGTCGGGCACACATCTGCCCCAGTGTGTTAAGGAAGACACTTCCATCGTAACCAACGTAATGCGAAGATCACATTGGGCTAATTACTCTTAAAATACGTTTGAAACGTTGTCTTTTGAAGCACAATTGAAACTGCGAATCACATAATGTCCTTCCATGCTAACCAAACTGCCATCATTTTACTCTTCAAGCACTTGAGAAGCCATTTGGCCCTTTGAGCCCAAAGATGTGGTAGAGATGAGAACGCTGCGTAAGTTATACTTTTTAGCACATAGAAGTGCCATTGCATGATAGATGAGATTTCATAATGCAGATGTTCATTAACGTCACATTTCCCTAGGAATGGGAATGACCATCACAAGAAGACATCCGGCATCGGAAGGCATTTATGTACGAACGATGCACAATAAAATGTACTATGGATGATTCACCTTTCTTTTGGATATACTGCGTCGTCTAACAAGCAAGTGTCGCGTTCTCAAAAGAAGTCCTCCAAAACTGAATGTGTGCGTGTGTGCGTGTGTGGACGCAATCGCAGCAGATTGGAAGGTTGTAAGCCGACGATGTGTACCTCGTGTCGGCAGACTAGCAGGCAGAGACGACATTTGGATAAGGATTAGGCGACCTCTCTCTCGCTTGCCATGGTCGTGCCTCGTGTTCTCCACCTCATCAAAGATTGTGAAACAAGCAAGTTTACGGGATCCTAGAGGATTTATAGGAGATGTGCGCGATTCAAATGATAGGTGAATTGTTCCTTGCGTTGTGGTGTTTGCATTTTGCCAGTAATTCGGGGAGAGTGGATCCATAGTCCTATGCCAAACCAGGAAATGAAGCGTTAATTCTCGATAGAGCGCAAGTGATAACAAATTATGCGGCAATTGTCCAAAGCAGGTCCACCGGTAATTTAGGGCATTGCCACCTGTAACTCGTGGAATGAGGGATTGATGGTCAATTGATGTTCTGTTGCTGGTTGGATCCTGAGAGATGGGCTGGATCAGATGGCAGTGCTTGGCGGGCAAGATGTGATGACGAAACAGGTGCCTTTTGTATTCCATTGTAAAATGGCAGAAAAACGTGAATAAATGTGAGTTTGACAAACGCTCTCCAAGTGGAAATTTTGTATAAACAGAAGATATGACAAAGGATAGCCCATTTGAGATTTTATATTAAATTAATTTGCGTGTACTGCATAGTAATAAAACCGAACTGCAGTGTAAAGTGGCCGTCTAGGTAGTGGGCATGACTTGCTACTAGATAAGCGCGAACGACAATGTCCACATTGTCCCCGCAGCGGGGGGGCTGAGGGATACCGACTGTCGATGAAGCTACCACTCATTCTCTCTCTATATATCTCTCTCTCTCTCATCTCTCACACACATCTGGACAGAGTCAGGAAGACCAGACGTGGGATCGGGCGCATCCAAATCTGACTAAATCGGAAACTTGTCAGGCGTAAAGGATATTTATGCAGAAAACGCTTGGTCATGGCCAAATTCCACTGCCCAGTTTTGAGAGCTACGTCGGACACAAAAATGCATAGCAGCATATTCGAAAGAAACTTGCGACAGATTTATTGAAATAAGTCGACCCTGCCCTGAGCTCGGCAATTCGAAAAAGGTTGTACCATTAATGTAAAATCAATTTGGCCTACGTTGTCGCAATTAGTATCAGTTCGGTCATTAGACAATTCGTGTCATTAAAGCGGTAAGCAATCGCACATTTTCAGTGCGCAGTGCCGTGTGCACCCAAGATTGTTCTTCCCAATCCACCCAGTGAATCACATGAGTTGGAGGACGCCTATGTAGTTTATTGATGAGATATGATCATTGCGGTTGCGGTAATTGGATGCCGTTGGAGAAGCGGACGGAAAAGCGTGGGTGACATGAAACTCAATTGTCCGTTATGCAGACGCTTTAATTTTACGTGCAAAGTGTTGCATTGAATGCACGTGTGACGATGGGAAGAGTTCAAAATTAAAGCCAAAAGAATCGGTTTATTTCAAGCATAAACAGGGCCTAATTTTCTACCACCTGACTACAAGAAAGAATATTTTTCTTGAATGTTTTCTATAAAATATATCTGAAGTTGTAATGACATCGAAAATTAGGGGAAAATGCAGACCAACTCAGTAGTACTTTTAGGCAGGCGGCTGAAATGAGGCTAGTTCGAAAGCCGGTATGCAGGCGTGAATGGAATATCACAGGATCATGTAGCAGGATGGTTAATATTATAACCCAATTTGAGTAATGTTTTTAATCAAGGACATTTTACAGAATTTCGGTAAACATTTCAATAGATAGCACATCTACTGCACTAGGCAATTTTTGCATTTACGTCGACTTCCTATTGGGAGGAGGAATCATTATTGTTGTTTTGCCAAATTATTCGCAAACGCAAGAACTAAATGGCTTAAATGAACTTTTCGGTGGTGTGGTACGGTGAGAGCAGTCGGTCACGAAACAGAATGCTCTGCCTAGGTGTTGACTGAGGACATATCTGAACTGATTCATACGAAATAAAATCATCATTTATGTTTGCATTTTTCTTTCCATCTTTAGCAAATTATCGACTACTGGTCTTCGGACCACGGATATGACAATATGCCCACAAGTCTCACCATTTGTTACAGGGTACTATTTACACTCAAAATGATGTGCCCTAGATTTCTAACCTTCTTGACAAGTGTGATTACTTCAGACACTCATTGCTGCAATTGCAGTAGTATGTGTGTGGGCCAAACTTGTCGCGCTATGGATGAAGTGCAATCAAATCATTGTAGTTGAAGTAAAGGACAGAGGCAACTGGAATATCTATTTCAAAAAAACACAACTCTGCAAGAAGATAAGTTAAGATGCAAAGACTGATAGTGAAATAAGTGTGTTAAAAAGCTGACGAATTTGCTAGATGAGCTAGGGCAAAGAACATGCTGACTGCATTTACACGCAATACGTTCAGCAGTGCTTAAGTTAATCTAACCAAACTTTGTCCAAGATGTCAGCCTCTTGATAGTTATAGCAGGGACATATTAGATGGGGTTTGGGGAGTTCTAACAGAACTCATACCATCGCAGTTTCGTTTGCCAACAAAGTAAATCATTTCTGAAACTTATTATTACTGGCAATGAAATGTGATGCTTATACGCGCACGATTAGGAGGGATTACATACTTGCGGCTGTAAGACTGATTATCTTACAAATCAATCACATGACATTTCAGACACCGAAGAGTGTTGGCTTTTGAGTGAGCTGCTTTTCGGCAACCTACAGGAATCCTTCTCGTTAAAATGACAACTTAACTGGTAGGCATTGCCCCAATCACCCCTCGATGTCCTGGTAATTTCAAACATATTATATAATATTTCCTTAAACATATAATTTCTTCTACACATTCGGTATGAAATCACGTATGTTTGAAATATTTTTCTTGAAAAAAGGGCGGCTTGCATTTGCAGACATAGGTTTGATTCCCGAATTGTTATGAGCTTGATCTGTCGTTGCACTTTTGCTTAGAGAATTCAACCTTCATAGCTCGTTTGCTCCGTCTGATAAAAACGTGCATTCTTTCACACCATTAAGAAAATACAATATGCAGCTCGGAAAACGTTGCAAGAAGTGTCAAATGTGTTCCATATTTTATGTAGAGCATAATCAAAAAGATATATACAATGTTCTTCGAGAAGACATCGCACCGTCCTCAAAAGTCTCATAAAGAGATGCATGTTTGTGAAAGAAAGATGTCTTTTTTCAAGTATGGAAATTTAAGAAGGCGTGGTTTGTTACCAAATGAGTACATAGAATGATACTTTTATCGAATTTCTCCCTAAAATCCAATTAAATTTACAAGGACATCCAAAATCGGACGATAAAATAGACACCAAGTTAGTAGTTATTCTTACCGCGTGAGTGACTGAACGGCAACACCCTGAGGTGTTTGAAACATACAAGGACTATGCCACAAGTTAATCAATATCGCAAACCCCACTTAACAATACTTTCTATTCGAAAGCACATTTCAGAAATTCGGTTTAAATTTCAAGAGATTTGTCACTCACAATCTCAGGCGTATTCAGTATTGTGAGCTAACGGTTAGCGTGAAAATCAAACCACGCTTGGATGTGCTAACACAGCAATTACCCAAAAAACTGTCGAGATAGATACTTTATCTAGGCTCTGCGTATCGGTAGATTTTTCTACCTGAGGCTAAAATTGGTTTTATGCCAATAATTCGATATATTTCGATGGCAGAACTTACTCCACGGTTAGATTATTGCAGTAAATTAGGGGATGGTTCTTCTCCGAATGTACTGACTTGTGCTTTGCACATAACTAGTGATCAGAGATGTGCGGTAGGACGTGGGAACGACCAAGAGCTGCCTACTAAAGTGTAGCTTGAATCAACTAGGTTTTCGAAGGGGTCAGACCTGCACTGTGAAATTTCTTCACCAGTGACATGGGGCAGGAGAATCTCGTTCGCAGAATGAGCTTATCTCGACCCCTCGTCTGTGGCAGTCAGTCTGCCGTTCCAGCAAACCCCCCCCCGCCCCGTCCTGTTGTCTGGCAAATTTTCCAAACGTTGGCGACAACAGCAAGGGCAATTGAAAGGTTACGCGAGAGGAGGGGTCTGGTTGAGCTAGCGACCATCTGAGTGTGTGCTGTCTCGTGTGGGAGACTGACCGTCAGTCCAGCCATCGGACTTTCAACCTGATGACACCGAGAACTGAGAGATCGAAGAGTACAGGCTTGTGCGCAGCCATGTCGCCTCATGTGACCGCGACTGTCGCAAACCGAATCCAGTCTGAGGGGCAGATCGGTTAGTAAGAGAAACCTTTAGGTTCCCCAGCATAGCGACGGAGTAACAAAAGTTGCCGAAATTAAATTTGCCTGAAAATACTAGTATTTCTTTGCAGTGGACTTTTACGTAGCCAACGAGTTCGTCGGTTTCTCGTTGAATGACACCATTTGCAGCCCATAAATCATCGCAGGGAGCCTCAAATATTTTGCATTCTTGATGAGGGCATCTTTAAACACACAGATACGGTGTTATTTGAACAGACATTGCATCGTTCGCAAAATCTCATAACGAGGATCATTTTAGGGTCTACCGATGCCCCTTTTTCAAGTGGAAAATTTGAAGAATGCATAATCTGCATTCAAATGAGTACAAAAAATAGTATTTGTATGGAGTTTCTCCCTAAACGAACGACCTAATTCACAAGGTCATCGAACACTGGTGGAGGATCTGCACGCTAGTTAAGTAGCCATTTTTTCCAGTGAGGTCTCTGCAGATGGCTGAAGAGTCCTGCAGTTTACTGAAACATCACAGGAATATTCCACAAGTTAGTCAACGTCGCAACCGCACAAAAAATACTTCCTACTACAAAGCGCGTTTCCGAAGTTGGGCTAACATTTCATGAGATCGGTAGCTCACAGGCGCAGACGAACGCAGTATTGTGTGCCAAAGACTAGCTTGAAAAACGCAATACTCCGCTTCTTTTGACTTTCAATTTTCTTGGACGCGGAAACACAGCAATCGCTCAAAAAACACAGAGTCGTCTATTTTAGTTAGGCGCTGCTTATAGGTAGATTTTGCTACTTGAAGCTCAAATTGATTTTCTGCCAATAGTTCGATATGCTACGACTGCTTGGTTTGTTTTACGATGAGATAATTTCAGTGAATCAGGGGAGTGAGACATTCTTCTCCGAGTGTTCTGCCTTGGGCTTTGCAGATGACTAGTTTTCAAAGTCGCGCAGTGGGACGTGCATGTGACTAGGAGCTGCCTGCCAAAGTGCCTTCTGGGTCTGATGGGAGTTCAAAGGAGACAAACCTCACTGTGACATTTCTTCACCCCTGGCAGGCGGGGGGGGGGGGGAGGCGGGCCGGAGATGGGGACGCGGGATCATGTTCGCTAAATGAGCAACTCTTTTCCATTGTGCGCCAACGATTAACGTGAAAAACACAATACTCCGCTTCTTTTGCCTATCAGTTTCCTTGGACGCATCAACGGCAAATTGCACCCAATCACTGACCGACTAGGCGAATGGGAGAGAGACTGATAGTGCGGTTGACATTACGGAATCGTTTCCCACGCATTCTTCACAAAAGATATTCAGACCCACTTTGAAACTATCACAAGGTGCTGGGAAGACCTATTATTACTGGCGATGAGAAGTCGTGCTTATGTGTGGTCGATCAGTAAGCATTGCATAAGTACGGCTGTAAGATTGCCTATCTTACGATGCAATCACATAATATTTCAGACACCTCAAGGCGTTGACTACTGAATGCACCTTTTTTCGACCATCTACAAAGCCTTTCTTCACGAACCTGACTAATTCATTGATGGGCATTTTCCATGTCGATTTGCGAGGCCTCTGTAATTTCAGGCATGGGGTAGATAACTGGTGTGTATTTCAAATTCTTATCTTGTAAACGGCAGCTTATGGTTTTTAAGAAGACGTTTTGGGCACCGAGTGGATTTAAAGTCGATTTGGCGTTGCGATGTCGCTTATGGAGTTAAGCCTACACTGTGCATAGGTTCCAGGCAGGGGGAGAACTATGCAGTCCTACACGCCATCACGAAAATATGATACGCAGCTATTACACTAAGTGTCATTTCTGTTGTATATTTTACAGGGAACATTTTACAAGATCTTCGAACATCGGTAGAGTAAATTCGTGCTCGCTAAGTGGCCATATATGTCCAGTGAGGAATTTGCAGGTGGCCGAAAAGACCTGCGCTCAAATGCCAACACACTGATGTGTCTGAAACATCACAGGACTATGCCACAAGTTAATCAACATCGTTAACCCACTTAAGTAATGCTTTCCAGACGAAATTACATTTTAGAAGTTGGGCTGACATTTACTGAGATCGCTCACTCAGACATACTCGGTTTTGTGTGCTAAATATTGACGTGCTCCGTATCCTTTGCTTATCAACATGATTAGATGGTGAAACGCAGATATTGTCCAAAGAATAATGCTTCGTCAATGAATCGAGGCAACTCGTTAGACTGCAATTCGTGCAGTGATTTTCCACCACGGAAGGCGGTTGCAATGGTTTCATTTGACCGGTATAACTGATGGCATCACCAAAATGTATCGTAGAGAACTCTACTAGGCATATTCTCTTGGGTTGCCTTGCTGTTAATCCTCAGTCGGTGAGGAGAGAGCGTATCGATGTAGAATGCCGCATTGGGTGGAATTCGATGCCTGAAAGACTGAGCGGTTGGCCTTCAAGAACGTGTTGGGTGACTCAATCACCTGGTTTGATAGACGCATGCAGGGCCCGATTCTAACTGTCCTAATGGCAAAGTGGGCGAAACCAGTGGTGGCTTCTCGGAAAGTAGCCTGTCTCTCCTAAAAGTACGCCAAGGATGTAGTTTAATTATAGAATTACAAAATGACATGTAAAATCATGTAAAGACGATGTGTGACCAATAGGGATTTCAAGTCCGTTCACCAGTACTTCCCTTAATAGAACTGAAGTGAGCTGTAAGCGACTGAAAAGTTACATTTTGACTACAAATGGCCACTGGCATACGTTTCATGCAAGGAAAAAAACATACAGATATGAGGTTATTTGAACGGGCATTGCGTTGCTCTAACATTCTCATAATGTGAAACACTTTTCGGATCGAAATCATGACGAAATCTGACCGTCAGACAGGGGTCATCAGACACTCACAACACCATGTCAAACCAGCGCATGATGTTTAATCATATGATGAAAGAGTGCATTACACTGGTAGACGATTGCTTTCCAACAGACGACGAACTGCCATGATCACTCCCCAGAAAATCATTTGATATTAAATTAATTTGCGTGTACTCCATCGCAATAAAACCGAATTGGAGCTTTAAGTGTCTGTCTGGGTGGTCGGCGTGTCCTGACACATCGATAACCGCGAGCGACGATGTCCACCTCGTCCCCACAGTGGGGTGGGCGTAAGGATAATGACTGCCACTCATTCTCCCTCTCTCTCACACACATCTGGGCGGGGTGTCAAGACAGAGTCAGGAAGACCAGAGGTGAGATCGGGCGCATCTTCGTGTGCCGAACACCTCTGCTCCGCACATGATGAAACAGACGGACGGTTATTCGATGCACGACCTACAATAATTCGACGCCTTTGCAGGAAACGAGTCTTCGTGTCTATTCCACTGAACAGACGCGTGTATGCATGGATCATACTTGTAGCCTAAGACATCCAGCATGCTTTGCTGCATTCTGCATGCAACAGAGCAACAGTCTGCCGATGTCCTGTAGGAATCATGTTAAGGAAAGACACCCATGAGTAGCAGATACGACGACTACTAATCAAACAGTGATGGTGCACAATTGGAAGACGCCTGTTCATGCGCGAGGAGAAGGTTGAAATTCATAGCTGTAAGAAGGCTTCGATGCTCGCCAGTTGCTGGTATTTGCAGATATAACTAACTATCATCTCCCGTACTCTCTCTCAAACACACGCAGAAGCTTCAATAGTACATGACTGGCCGATCTTCTGAAGTGTTGACCTGAAAGATGAAATGTGTTCTCATCTAGTAGGGATTACTTTGTTGGGGTTCTAATGCTGATTATGGTGCGGCATGATCGAATGGTATTTCGAACACGCCAGGCTGTTGACTTTTAAATGAACTTCTTTTCGGCTGACAACAAAATACCGCCCTCGGCAAACAATAACTAATTTTTATGATCTTGAATTATTCCGATTGCTCCTCATTGCCTCTTCATATGCAAACGCATTTCACAGAAAGCATACATAAACATTCCCACACCCAGCTACTCTCCATACCGGCCAGCAGGCTGGAGCGGGAAATAGGCGCGGTGGATGGCATGGTCGATTGACCATGTCTGCGCGTGTCGCGCGCATGACCTGGCCCTCCAGACACACACACACACACACACACACACACACACACACACACCAGGATTTCACTCAACGGGGGTTGAACGGCGTATTTCTCACTTGCGTGAGAGTGCCGAGGAATGTGCTATTACGGCAAGTCTCCCAGGCCATCAGTCCGCCACTCCACACAAACACACACACACACACACAACGGGACGGACGGCGTGGACCGAGTGGGGGGCGTCAATCAGCAGCCTTTCTATACACGACGCTTAACGCGTCGGGATAGTCTCAGAATCGGGTCACTCGTGCAGCAGGAGCCGCACGGAGACCGAGTCGAGAAGCAAACTTCTCACTTTGCGTGTGAAGTGGCAGTTAGGGGCTTTCGGTGGGTGATGTTGATTTCTGATGGTTAGATGATGATGATGATGATGATGATGATGATGATGATGATGATGATGATGATGATGATGATGATGATGATGATGATGATGATGATGATGATGATGATGATGATGATGATGATGATGATGATGATGATGATGGTGATGATGATGATGATGATGATGATGATGATGATGATGATGATGATGATGAGGATGATGATGATGATGATGATGATGGTGGTGGTGGTGGTGGTGATGATGATGATGATGATGAAGGGGGAATGTCATGCTGTGGTGCAGCCGGCGTTTGTCTACCGCAGGTTTTTTGGATGCGCATGTTTCCGAATAGGCCTATACAGTGTATAAATGTGCGAGGGCAGATTGGACAGTGGAGTCGGGTGGTGGTGGTGGTGGTGGTAGTGGTGGTGGTGGTTGTGAAGATAAAGTGGGAATGTCATGCTGTGGTGCAGCCGGCGGTTGTCTACCGCAGGTTTTTGTGGATGCGCATGTTTCCGAATAGGCCTATACAGTGTATAAATGTGCGAGGGCAGATTGGACAGTGGAGTCGGGTGCGGTGGATGTGTGTTGGTGCTCCAGGCACTCGTTCGCCAGTCTCTGTGCGATTGATTCGCAAGTGACCGACCAGGTCGATATGTGTGGTGAGGGTGTGGTTTCAATGAGGGCAGTCCTGGTACTCACCGCTGGTTTCGACAGTGGCGGGGTTGGTGTGCCGGAGCGTCAGGGTAGTTTGCAGTGTTGATGTGCGTGGGAGGCGGCGCAACAGCTGGTGTTGTAGCATAGGAAGAGGAGGAGGAGGAGGAGGAGGAGGAGGAGGAGGAGGAGGAGCATCGAAGTGGTGGCTCAGAAGTGCGGTCAGATTTATTTGGCGGCGAGGAGGACGAGGCGGAGTTGGCCGGTTGGTGCGGTCTGAGATGCGCAGTTGATCCGGAGGTGTCCAACAAGTCCAATTCGTGCCCGATATGTGCGTTGACACCGTGGGCACTTTGGAGGCGGTTGTGCACTGGGAATGGGAGTGAGCGCACATGGGACTTGCGTGCTTCACGTTTAATTTTGGCGGCAACGATGCGGTTGGCTTTATAGATCGCGGCGTCTGTCTTCACTGTTCTTCTCCAGGTCGGTCGGTCGTTGGCGAGGTCTTCCCAGTTGGCCGGGTTAATTTGCAGACGCTTCAGAGAGGACTTCCGCGTATCCTTGTATCGGCGAATTCGACCTCGTTGGCGAAGGGAAACCGTGGCGACGTCGCCATAGAAGAGTCGTTTGGGCAGTCCCCCGTCGTCCATGCGCACGAGGTGGCCGCTCCAACGCACCTGCAGTTATCTCAGCATGGTGTATATGTTGAGGATTCCCGTCCGTTCCAATACATCAGTGTCGGGGATTCGATCCTGGCAACTCAGTCTCAGGATGGGACGAAGACAACTGAGGTGGAAGTGGTTGAATCGGCGTGCCTGCTTCGTGTACACCGCCCAGGTCTCCGCTCCGTATAGCAGCGTCGATAGGATGACGGCTTTGTAAATCTTCAACTCCGAGCTGAACTACAGACTGTGACGGTTCCAAACTGTGCTTTGAAGGCGGCCGAATGCTTGACTGGCCTTTGAGATCCGGCGGGCCACTTCGTCATCGATTTTCGTGCTACGGGAGAGGGTACTGCCAAGGTATGGGAAATTGTCCACCGCTGTCAGTTGGGTTCCGTTCACGCTGATCTGTGGCGCATTGTGCTGAGGGATTGTGTTTGGTGGCGGTTGATGCATGACCACCGTCTTCTCCGTGTTGATGACCAGACCGAAGGTCTCGCAGGCGACGGAGAAGAGGTCCATGCTCCATTGCATGTCCTCTTCCGTGGTGGTGTTCAGGGCGCAGTCGTCGGCGAAGGGAAGTTCGTGAACGGTGGTTGTGGATACGCGAGATTGGAAGTAGATCCGGCGTTGATTGAAGAGGTGGCCGTTCGTCCTGGAGGCGATGTGGATCCCGGAACTTTCGTCGCGGTAGACGTCCATCAGCATGTCAGAGAACATAAGACTGAAGAGGGTGGGCGCCAGGACGTATCCCCGTTTCACACTGTTAGTCAATGCGAATGCCTCTGAGACAGCTCCGTTGTCCGTGACGTACGCGCAATCATGCCGTCGTGGAGTTGACACACCATCTGAATGAATCGCTCCGGACAGCCGAATTTCTGCATGATCTTCCACGGTCCTTCACGATTGACCGTGTCGAAGGCTTTCGTCAGATCCACGAAAGTAGAGTACAGATGGGTCCGCATCTCGTGGCACTTCTCCTGAAGTTGACGAGCGGCGAAGATCATGTCCGTTGTCCCGCGATAACGGCAGAAGCCGCACTGGCTTTTTGGCAGAAGACGGACGACGTGCGTGACCGAGGACGGCAAGCACCGTCCACTGGACTGTGTCCCGCAGTTGATACCATCGGTTCTTCACAGATGCCTTTTCGTCAGCGACGGTGGCGGTGGCGGCTGCGACAGGAATTTTGTCTAACCGTTGAGCTAGCTCGTTGCTAAAATGGAAATGGTGAGCGGGCAAAGGCAACAAGGCGATATTCAACTTATCTGGGTGGTGGCTTACCTTGTGGTCTTCTGCGAGGCTGTAGGCTAATACGCATCTTCGCGATGACGAGGCGATGATCGGTCCACCCGTCAGCATCCGCGATCGCCTTTTTCACCAGCACGTCCTGATGATCTCGCCTCGAAGAGGACATAGTCCAGCAGGTGCCACTGACGCGACCGAGAATGCCTCCAGGTGGCCTTCACTCGCTCTGGCAGACAGAAGAAGGTGTTTGTCAGGATGAGGCGGTGTTCTGTGCAGGTGCGGAGAAGGTGCAGGTCACTGTCGCTGAACCGCGGAGACCATGGGGACCTAGCACTCCTTTCCGGGCAGCATGGTCTGTATTTTCGCGGGCGTTGAATTCCTCAAGGACAATCAGCTTGTCCGCATACGAGACAGTCGCAAGGAGGGCGTGCAGGTCCTCGTAGAATTCGCCCCTTGCGGCGTCGAGGCTGGTCATCGGCGGAGCAGAGGCACTGATAATGGTGGCGAATTTGCCTCCGCGGAGAGGCAGGCGGAAGCTCATCAGGCGACCGTTGATACCCTATGGCAGACTGGGCAGTCGTCCACGATGTATTTGCAATTTCAGCGTCATCTTTGCGGACGATTTCTTCTTAACTTAACCGCATGAAGTGCTCAGCTAATATAAAGCAAGTACTGGACGACTTAACACAACAGAATCGCAGTAAATCCATTTTCCCACGCTTAGAGGATGGGGTGGGAGGGAGGGAGGGAGGGAGGGGAAAGTGAGAGTTCAGGTGCGTCCCGCGACATGACGAAATCTGACCGCCAGACAAGCGTCATCAGACACTCACAATACCATGTCAAACCAGCGCAAGATGTTTAATCATATTATGAAAGAGGGCATTACACTGGTAGGGGATTGCTGTCTAACAGAAGACGAACTGCCATGCTAACTTTCCGGGAACCCATTTAAGATTGAAATAATTTGCGTGTTCTGAATCGTAATAAAACCGAATTGGAACATAAAGTGACCGTCTAGGTAGTGGGCATGACTTGATACCTAGATAAGCGCGAACGACAATGTCCACATTGTCCCCGCAGCAGGGGGGCTGAGGGATACCGACTGTCGATGAAGCTACCACTCATTCTCTCTCTCTCTCTCTCTCTCTCATCTTTTACACATCTGGACAGGGCCTAAGACAACCTCTCGGTGGCATCGGTATGCTTTGCTTTAGAACCATTCTGCCTGCAACAGCAGCAACAATCTGCCGAAATCCTGTAGAAAGATGTTTAGAAAAGACATCTTTGAGAGGCAGGCAGATCCGATTACTACTAATTTGAAAGTGATGGTCCACAACTGGAAGACACCTGTTCGTGCGCGAGGAGAAGGTTGAAGTTCATGGCAGTAAAAAGGCCTCGATGCTCGCCAGTTGCTCGAATTTACAGATATAATTGATTATCCTCTGTTTTACTCATACATACATATTCTAATGAACATGATGCTGTCGAAATTCCATGAAACATTGTGGATTAATTTACTAGCCAATTTCCCAGACAGAAGGGAGGACGATCGGAACGGCAGACAAACTCCTAATCTGACTACTTCGGAAACTTGGCAGGTGTGAAGGATAGTTATGCAGTAAACGCTTGGTCATGGCCAAATTCCATTGCCCAGTTTTGAGAGCTACGTCGGACACAAAAATGCATAGCAGCATATTCGAAACAGACTTGCGACGGATTTATTGAAATAAGTCAACCCTGCCCTGAGCTCGGCTATCGAAACACGTTGTACCATTAATGTAAAATCAATTTGGCCTACGTTGTCGCAATTAATATGATTTCAGTCATTAAACAATACGTGTCTTTAAACCAGTAAGAAACCGCACATTTTTAGTACGCAGTACCTTGAGCGCCTACGATTGTTCTTCCCAGTCCACTCTGTGAATCGCATGAGTTGAAGGATGCCTATGAAGTTTATTGAGGAGATATGAGCATTGTGGTTGCGGTGATGGAATGCCATTGGGGAAGCGGCCAAAAAAGCGTGGGCGTCATGAAACTCAAGTGTGCGTTATGCACGCCTAGTTGCGGCTGCTTCGGCCGTGCCAGACTCCACTCTCTTTGTTGTCGGTCAAAATCCTGGCTTTTGTTGAGAGGACAAGGAGGTGCGGAGTGGAGCGCCAAGGCGTGCAGCCGTCCAAGCCATCCACCTGCGGCCTCCATTATCTCCGGTCTTCTTGTCTCTGTCTTGACACCGGGCTCAGGTGGCGGAGGAGAGAGTGTAGTAGATGCAGCGCAAGTCTACTGGCACTATAAACCCCGCGCAACTCACCGTCCCTGCTGTGGGGCATAGGGTGGACATCGTCGAAATTGACGATCGAACTCTTGTGTGTGCGTGTGTGTGTCTTATGGCCCTCGTCTGGCGGTCAGATTTCGTCATGCTTCGGAGGGCAAATGAACTCTCTCTCTCTCCCCTCCCCCCCTCCCTGCCTCCCTGACGGCGGTTAGAAGAGATTCACTGCGACAATGTTGAGGGGACGATAATGACGGCTACATATCCTTGGGCCAGGAATAATGCATGTGGTCTTCCAGCCGCTTCTACGTCTTCTCTGACGTATATGCAGGCTCAATATCCTAAAGGACGACAACATTGCCGTCTGAAGTGCAGGTTTGAATCTATCTAGGGCTTGATATGTTTTTGAAGAACATCCGGTTACTAGTCTGTGTTCACTTTGACACCCCCCACCCCCCCCCCCGCCTTGATGAACAGAGCGGGCATGACTTTGCCGTCAGAGACAATCAGGACGAAGGCCATCGCAGACGCAGGATGTTTGGTCTGAAATTTGCACTTAGCATTCTCAGATACCTCGTTGAGCTTCCCGTGGGCTTATATAGCAATATGTTCGTCTGTTGGACACCGAATCCACCGTGAAGTACTTTTTCATCGGAGTAGAGCATCGTGTTCGGTCCTATCTTGAGGAAACGTGAGATTCTCTTAGTCCAATCCAGTATCTTCTCTTTTTTACAGCCTCAGTAACGAGATGCCTTCTAGTCCTAGTCCATGACCTAACATGCAGGTCCTTTTTCACGACATTGATTAACATGTGTACAGACACATCAGGCGCCGAAGTCAGCTTCTTCATGATTCCGACCGGATTGCAAGGACTAGGATCCCGGACAGCCATTATCAGCCAAGGGGCTAGAACGTTTTTGTTTATCCACTACGAGGCTTCTTGTGGGTGCGTCCGGACTTCTTATAACGTTAGATAATCGCATAAATTGCTGACCTGGCCATTTCCGGCTTGCCAGTGATGTCCGTGGGCGAGAGGCCATTATTTTTTCAAAGACAGTCGTTGTGTTGTTATTATTGTATTCTACAGAATAAACTATAGATTTCCAATATTTTCAAACAGTGTCGGCGAAACTATTACGAGAACTACGACCGCATAAGGCAAATTCAGCACCGTCCACATTATGGGTCAGGCTGCACGCATGATCGAATCGCGCATACAGAAGCATAAGCTGCCTGTGTGACGTTATAAGGAATTAGCACATCTAGTTGTTGTGCTGAGTCCATACGTCGTCATATATAATATATAATAGTGTATTTTAGGATAACAGGCAATGCCCTTGATGACCCTATTGAAAACGGTACAGAAAATATAAACGTTAAATGTACATCTTACTAACATTTTGTCAGTAACATATGTGTTCACGGAAAACGTTTCACAATGCGGGACTGCGAAGGGTGCGGCAGGCGGTCTTCTCAGTGTACATATGAAATTTTAAGTGCAGTTATATACAATCAGCATAAAGTGCTGTCATTTGCATAGTTTGAGAGGAGACATTTCATTAACAGTCAGGGATGTGTTAGGTAGGGATGAAATCAAGAAATGAAATTTATGGCTGGCCGCAGATAGTCCTGTTGTGAAAGTCGTCGTTTATCAAAGATCAAACGATCGAGCTGCCTTTTGAATACAGTGATTGTATCAGATGTCACTATTTCACTTGGGAGTGCGTTCCATGGTCGAACAACACGCTGGCTGAAGGAAAACTTCCGATTGTCTAGGCGTGTACGCTCCCGCTTGACTTTGTACGGGTGACCGCGCAGGTGACTCGTGGTCGTGAATTCAAAGAAGTCGTCTGTTTTTAGCGAACATTGATGTCCGTGGATAATGCGGAATGTCCATAACAGGTCACACCTCATTCGTCTATAGGAAAGGGGGAACAAATTTAACTGGATCAGTCTTTCTGGGTATGACAGAGTCCTGAGACCGTCTACCAGTTTTGTGGCCCGTCGTTGCACCTGCTCTATGGCATCACTGTCTTTCTTCATCCAGGGCATCCATGATGGCATTCCGTATTCCAAGTGCGGTCTGACGAACGTGCCGAATATCTGTGAGAAGAGTTCTGGAGGAAAGATTTTGAAGGCACGCCTAATCCAGTGCACGATGCTGGTTGCCTTTTGGACGACTCTTTTGCAGTGCTGGGAGGGCAGC